ATATGCGTTGTTCATGATCACCTGTTACAGTATAGGGAAAGGTTATCTTTTGCGGTCCAAATGGTAATGAATGCAGAGCAGATTGCATCCGCCTCGTTATTCTAATAGCACCACCCTAACATATTCGCACACCCACCGTTGACTGGACCCACACAGCATTGAAAATAGCAAAAAAATGCCTGTCCTTCGCCGTAATCGTGCACTTAAAGAGGAATCTGATGCGTGTGGTTACTGTCTCACAGTCTTGTTTAGTCGTTGCTCCCTCTAGTGGTCCTTATTGACCCTATATTCATTGAGAGCTCCGGAAACGCGAGCTCTTCTTGATTCTTGGGAATCTGCCACACGCTCACGATGCATCGATGGCATAGAAAGAAGAGTTCGTTCCCTTTTCTCGTGCTCCTCTTCCTCGGCTGCATCGTCTGTACGATTCTGTACAACGAAAGCAGCATCCGACAAATCCACCAAGACCCGGATCGAGTCCTCCAGAAGCAACCTCAGATCACCTACGTAAGGCCGAATCAATCAGCTCGAAGGAGCAGAGCTCCAGGTATACCACACTTCATCTTTTCACTTGAACTGGCAAAAGGATTTGTGGTTCTGGTGTTCTTTTTCCCTGTTTTTGGTAATTGGCAATGTGGGGATTTCGTTGAATTGATGTTTCGCATTTAAAGTTTGGATCTTTTTGTGGGTTGTTTATTGCCATAGGGGTTTTGGATAGATTTAGTAGATGCAACTCCACGAGAGAGTACAGTGGGAGGAAGATCAGGTGGGGTGAGGCTGCACTGGCGTCCGGTCGACGAAGGGTTGATTTGGAGAGGTGCAATGTGTTTTCGGGGAAATGGGTGCTCGACAACGGGTCGTTCCCGATGTACAGCGAGTCGGAATGCCCATACATGTCGGACCAGCTGGCTTGCCACAAGCATGGGAGGTCTGATTTGGACTACCAGTATTGGAGATGGCAACCTCATAATTGCAATTTAAAGAGGTAATTCCTTTGAGGATTTAGTCTATTGTGCTAGTTTTGATTGTGTACTTAATTTATATTTGCTTGGCTAGAAGAAGAAGCTCCAACTTTGATGTGATAGTCTGAAGTCTCATGAACGAGTATCTGGATAAGTTTGAAAACAGCTTGGTTGACTCTGAATTCTAAATGAGCAAATGTCCTTTTGTGGAAATCCAATTTTGACAAGTGTTTACAAGGAAATGATACACTCTAGGTATCACCTTAATTTTGTGTCCACAACATCAAAATGAGTTAATGGATGCGTTGTTTGGTATATAGTTGCAGTGATAACTGGACAGGTTGCCTTTTGGTTTGACTATGTTTGTGGTTGTTTTGTTTTAATAGATGGAGTGTGACTGAAATGTGGGAGAAGTTGAGAGGAAAAAGACTAATGTTTGTTGGAGATTCATTGGATCGAGGGCAATGGATATCGATGCTCTGTTTGCTGCAGTCGGCAACTTCCAAGGACAAAAGATCTATAACGCCTAATGCACCTCTTACAATCTTCAGATCAGAGGTAAAGCTTGTATTCTGGCATCACGGTCCATGGTCCCCGAGAGGCATTTTATTGCTCACTTTTGATTCTTGAAAGTGCATGGCAAAAGTTTATCTTCAACATTCTCTATAGGAGCAGGCAATTTTTTTTAAGTTCCTAAGGTAAGTTCTCTCGTGCCGGTTTGTTTCCAGGAATACAATGCGACTGTGGAATTTCTCTGGGCCCCTCTCCTTGTTGAATCTAACTCCGATGATCCAGTGAACCATAGGTTGGATGAGCGAATAATACGGCCGGATTCAATTCTGAAGCATGCTTCACAGTGGGAGCATGCTGACATTTTGGTCTTCAACACATATTTATGGTGGAGACAAGGTCCTGTTAAGCTTCAGTAAGTATGGCATTGGTGGAGCTTCTAGTTATGGAGATTTAGAATAGGAGTCTGATTGTATGTTGGCATAATATGATGTGTGATAATTGTTGCAGATGGAGTGATGATGAAAATGGCAATTGTGAAGAATTAGATGGTTTGGGCGCGATGGAGTTGGCCATGGAGACATGGGCAGATTGGGTGACCACTAAGCTTGATCCTCGCAAGAAAGTCCTTTTCGTTACAATGTCTCCAACACACCTCTGGTGTGTAGCGATCTTTTCTAATGTTACCCGTTACCTGATGTGCTATTTCGGCTAATCCAAGCATGAATATAAAAACAAACTTCAGAAATTGCACAAGCACTTCGCTTTTCCTTTCCTCGCTGATGTGTGGATAACATCAGCAAAAGATAGTAACGATTGCAGTTGTCTTGCTGAAGATATTAGTGAATTTTTCAAAAGTGAAATATTGTGCACGGAGAGAGCTGTTCAAGTTTTTTCAACATTTTACTTAATTTTCCAGCTCTACGAATGTTCCTTTAAAGCGAAACGTCACATATTGGAGAATGGATTGGGGCGCAGGAATACTTTCTAAGGAAAACAACAATAATGTTTGCATCAGTTTACACCTAACATGATAACAGAGGCATGTTTAGTTTGCCTGATGCCAAGTATTAGGAATGCCCATCAGATCTTTGTCGGCCTGTTATCAGTTCCATGACCTTTTATCTGATGTTTCTATCTTTTCTTAATTCAGGAGCCAAGAATGGAAGCCTGGGAGCGAAGGGAACTGCTACAGCGAGCAGGCTCCTATTGATGTGGAGGGCCACTGGGGAGCCGGTTCTGACCTGCCCACGATGCGCATGGTGGACCGAGTTCTCGGCAAGCTGGGTCCGAGAGTCTCCGTGATCAACATCACTCAGCTCTCAGAGTACCGAAAGGACGGGCATCCGTCGATCTATCGGAAGTTCTGGGAGACGCTGAAGCCCGAGCAACTGTCGAACCCCGCGAGTTACTCCGACTGCATCCACTGGTGTCTACCGGGTTTGCCGGATGTGTGGAATCAGCTATTGTTTCATTTTTTGTGAATCTGAGATGTACATCATTGAGCTTTACTGCTGTGTTTCTTATAGAATGGAGGAAGGAAATTAAAGTTCATTGCCACTCTCTCTTGAACAAATCAATTCATTACTTTATTAGCACTTCTTTATTGGGCTAATTCTTCTTTTACTTTAGTTTGATAAAATGAAATAATTTGATAAGAAAAACCAATTCGATTAAAAAAAAAACTGATTTCGGCAATAAAAAACATGATCCTTGTGTTTGTTTTTAGACATAGTACTAAAAGTAATAGTCATTAAATCACTAGCGATGCAAAGACAAACAAAAAATTGACAGGCACCACAATAAGCAACGGCCATTTCTAGACACACCAGTAAGTACATTTTTATCAGGTTAAAGTTATTTATATTAGCTAAAGTGTTATCTTTTTACTATCATGCATTTGATTTTCACATAACATATAGATTCATATAATATTATGCAGGACTTAATCAACATTCACTGCTGATGAAATCAAGATTCCCGAATGACTAGACATTGTCGCTAGGCTCGCATGAACAAACTCAGAGGGACAGAAGGTCGGAAAAGCGCAATTATCCGACTTTTGGCTTATTGGACCAAAGCAAGTAAGTTCTGATCGCGACACCTTGTCGAGCTCGTACATAGCAGCCACCGGACCGATTCGGGATTTCAGGTCACTCAGGTTTTCTAGCACCCCCACAAAACAGCTGACGGTGGTTGTTGTGCGATTGTACAGAAGGTTTCTTTAACAAGCCACGGGTTATCGAGTTGCAAACTTGCTGATACTTCTCTACTCCAGCTAAAAATGGCAAATTCCTTCTGATTTCTTCACAACGTTTCTCTGTGGATTTCGAGGTCTGGTATTGGCTCCAAAGCACTAATTTGAATTTGAATCAAACTGATACAAAGTTGAGGCAATCATTCAATGGGGCTGGCTGCTTTAGGCTGTGTATGTTAATATAGGTATTTTCCCACTATTTTCCCAGAATATGGCATGAACCGAACGACGTCTTCTTTTTGCTTATATGTAACTAAATCATCTGTTTTTCCTTGCGATGATTGCTGGTCTGCTGCAACACGAGATTCGGAGGATTCTGATTCATCTTCTCCTAACTTCGATGTATCCTTCACTGTGTATTGCCGACCTCTGAAAGGGGTTCTAAGATACAAATCAAGGAAAACGAAGACAAAACTTGTGGCAAGTATGATATCCCACACACAAATGATTGTCCATGCCTCTATAGAAAGGGACTGCCTTTTAGCTATCGAGCCTTCCTTCGGATTTTGATTCGCACCTTAAAACTGTTTTATAATAGTAGAATTCTATTGCACAGGTTCCATATCATGGTAAGTGTAGATCATACTACTAGGACTAGCAAGCACATATGCGTTTGCTTACCGGACAGACGTGGAAACATACATGACAAACGACTTAGATAAACTGCGTATGGAAATTTGGTATAAATGGGCCTCTAAACGACTTCATTAAGCATCAAGATTGGAAAATTTGCTAAAATCTATTAATTTTCCCCTAAGAACTCTCTCATGTTCCAAAAATATGCTAAAATCCCTAATTTTTACCGGTTTTGCCCTAAGATTTTGGTGATTTGGAGAGAGAGGGAGGAGATTCAATTTTGTTATAATTTCCAGTCTCAATCCAATTTCTTCATATCTAATTCCTCCAAAACAACGACATTGTTTAGGAGGCCCATTAATGTTGAGTTTTCCACTTTGGCTTCACGTCACGTGCCGGTCATCCGAGTTGTTTGCCATGTGTGTTTTCACATCAGGATATTAAGCGGAAGCTAATAGAAAATAAATTTATCGTAAGTGTATCGATTTGAGATTTTTTGTGACACAAAAATTAACTTCGACAAATATGAGATGGATATACTGGTTCGTAATTTTTAAAATCAATAGTATGAAAATTTTGGTGGTATCAATTGCTTTTAAATAATAAGACAAGATTTTCTACGCAGACATTGTGGTACAAGAAAGAGACACAAACATTGTGGTACAAGAACGGTCGTACAACGGTTTAAACAGAATCAGAAACTTCCCATCGAACCCAACGTGCTCGATCCACAGTCCACAAGTTCGTAAGCTTCGAAGATATTTTCCCTTCTGCCTCTTCCATGGATTCCTCAGAAAGATCCGACGTTCGTTAACTCAACTGTCGATTACCTGCAAGCCACGTTCATGGTGGTTCCGCGTCTCCGTTGACGCGACACGCTCCGCTGCTTCTCCAATGGCGATCGCCCTCTCGCCCCACCACCACCACCGCTTCCTCTCCTCCGCGAGCCATTTCCACACCAACCCTTCCTCCTCCTCCGCGCCTCGGAGCCGCTGCTCCGCCCGTCCGAAGGCCGTCCCGGAGTCGTCCGATGCAAAGCGAGGTGCGGCCGCGGTACGGAGCTCGTCGCCGCCCGAGCTGAGGCCGGCCGAGCCTCGTGCGGAGGTTGAGAAGGCGCGGGGCGCGACTCCGAAGTCGCTGAATTGGGTTGATCGCGTTTTCGAAAGTTCGAGGTGTGAAGCGTTTGCTCCCGAGTGATTGGAGTTGAATTGTGGGTTGCGTTTGTGATTTTTCGAGTGCTTGTTTGGGAGTGTGCAGGGATGGATTTAGGTTCAGCGAAATCGGGTTGGAGATTTTGTCCATTGCTTTACCAGCTGCTCTGGCTTTGGCCGCTGACCCCATTACGTCCTTGGTGGACAGTGCTTTTGTTGGTCACATAGGTAACTCTTGAACTTCATGAATTGTTTCAAGTCTAGCTTGGATGGTTGAGAAGTGTTTCTTATATCAATTGATGAAATTTGTAGTTATTCGGTTCGTTACTTGCTCGTTTGAAAACTATTTGGCTGAAGTTCTCACAAAATGTTGGAAAAGATGTTCATGGTTAGGCTGTAATAATGTGTTGCAATGACAACGTCATCGCTTTCCTGTAGAGATATCGGCTTATGAGAACTGCAAAATGGCTGCCAGTGATGAAATTTTTAAATTCCTCGGAGCTAAATAAATGGTCGAATGTGACATCCTCGGTGCTTGTAAGGATAGGGATTTTTAATTTGATGTGGCATCATGTATTGTGAGTGGAACTCATTGACTACTTGAGGATTATTTCTTATTCTTGGTTACTTTTCTCTATTCAGGATCATCAGAACTGGCAGCAGTTGGAGTATCAGCTTCTGTGTTCAATCTGGTTTCAAAATTGTTTAATGTTCCCTTGCTCAACATTACCACGTCATTTGTAGCTGAAGAGCAAGCAGTGGCGGATAAGAGCAGTGATAATTATCATCGACTCGGTGATGGTAATTTCTTTCTTCTTATTTTATCGTGCTTTAAGACATGGTTACTTTTATTGCTCCATCTATGTTTCTCTAATTTGTCCTGCTTTATTGATTTTATCTAGGTTTTGCAGAGGAGCAACAAACAAAGAAGATCCTTCCATCAGTATCAACTTCATTAGCACTGGCTACTGGCATTGGGATCGCCGAAACTATTGCACTTTCAGCTGGCTCAGGTTTCTGGATCAATTTGATGGGTATATCTGTTGTATGTCTTCCTTTTCCAAGTATGAAGTTAATTGATTAGCCTGATTTCTCCATGTTTGGTCTAGTCTGTCATAGACAAATCATGACGAGCTCTGCTATGGCCCTTGTTTGTGCTTATTAAAAGTTTATCTTTTTACTTGTGGAAAGCCACAAGGGGCCTGCTTAGACACTTGGCACCTTCACTTTATGAGAAAATGATTGTCATTTACGTCACTTATTTTTATCATTTTTTATGCACTGGGGTTTTCTGGGGGAGGCGTTCTACAGATTGTTACCTCTCCACCAAGGAATTTCATGGACTCATAAGGCATAGCTTGGACATGTCACTCCTTAAAATTAGGCACCTCAGTTTTGTTGTAACAGGAAAGGATTGGTTTTAGTGCATTTTATTTGAAACACCTGCATAATAATACCCTCTAGGGACGTACACTATCTGATATAGATTTTTCTTTTCATTCTTTGTGACGTTTGTGTAGTATCTTCTTGGTATTCATTGAGGTTCACTCATCTACAGGATTCACCAATTAGAATACCAGCTGAACAATTCTTATATTTGAGAGCTTTTGGTGCTCCAGCAATTGTAGTAGCACTTGCTGCACAAGGTGCATTTCGTGGATTTAAGGACACAAAGACACCTCTATATGCCATAGGTATGTACCACAATGAGTTCTATTGAATATTAGTGATGGATTATTATAATTTCCTTCACCAATGAATGTCCGGATCTTATTCTTGGAAATAGGATCTTCAATCTTTACACTATGAAGAAACAGGATCGCTTTCTAGGATATTATAGTGTAGAACTATAATTAATCAGATTCATTATTGAATGAAGATTGGCCCTAGTGAATAATTATAACAAAGACTATTAAATAATATAATATTCTAGAGCTTTCTCATAAAGAGGGTAATCTTCTCTGTGGAAGTATGTAACTTAATCGATGTCTTATAGGAAACAAGACACTGGCAAGATACGTGAGAACCAGTGAACTTAGAAAAAGACAAGTAACAATTTCAGAGAATCATCAAGGACTTTCAAAGTAGTTTTCCCCTTTGAAAGACTAGATTTCTTGTTATGATTAAAACATGCAATTTTCTTTTTATGGCTAATTGATGTGAAGAAAATTCTCTTTATCTTACTATACTTTTGATTTAAGACTTGACAACTTCAGCTGCTTCTTTCTTTGTCTGTTCTGGCTGCCAGGACACGCCTCTGGAAAACTAGTATACTGTTGCAATGATACCTCTTAACCAGCCTTGATGGCTTTGCATAAATCTTTATGATTTGCAATCATCTTACATATATGTAAAATAAGAATAAGAATGTTGATAATTGTAATTTATCTTAGTGGTGTAAATGTTAAATTTTAGGTTCAATCTATAAAATTTTATATCCACCTAATAAATCCAGTTGCAGACAGACAGGCTCATTTCTAATCTATATTTTAATGGATTCAGCAGCTTTACACCTTGAATTAAACTGAAATTGGCTAACTCGGTTTGCCTAATTGCTATTTTCTTATGCTAATTGCTGGTCATTGGCTGATTGGCTTTTGAAGCACTCTGAGTTGCTTGTCGTTAAAGACATGCCTGAGTTCATAGTCAGATGATGTTGAGAACCGTCACAAAGGAAAACAATTTTCTGTCCACATGATGATATCATAGTTCTTTTGCTGGCATAGTTTTTGACAATTTTTTTTTTGTTGAGCTGCAGTTGCTGGCAACTTACTGAACGCATTTCTGGATCCAATTTTGATATTTCTTTTTGATCTTGGCATTGGTGGTGCCGCAGTAGCAACAGTGATTTCTGAGTATGTCAATACTGTGGTAAATTTAACATAATCATATCTATTTGCAGAATGTTGTGATTTATCGATATCGTGATTTGCTGTAACTTCTTTGTCCTCTAAATGGATTTAAATTTGTTTGCCTTCTATATAACAGATACTTGATAGCTTTAATCCTGCTATGGAAGCTGAATGATGAAGTATTACTGATCTCTCCAAATTTTGATGGGAGAAAAATTATCCAATATCTGAAATCAGGTATGGCTCTTATTAGGGAAACCTATTTTATTTTAGTTCTATTTTCCAACTTCTTCATCTGTTGCATCTATATGGTGAAGAAATTATTTGAACCAATTAAGGGCAAATGTAGAATTTAATTTCTCAAGAATGGCCAGAAGTTTATGTAGTCCTAATTTCCTTCTGGCAAGTTACTCTGGAAAGAACCTTAAGTGAGGCACAAAATCACAAGTCCACTTATTATTACATTTGTAGTCAATGACAAGACTAAGGTTCAAAATGGAGATTGAATATTTGAGGCTGTGATGAGTAAGGGTGAGCATGGTTCCAGGTTCTACCCTGGAACCTGAGAACCTGACTGGTTGGAACCTGTAGGTTCCAAGTTCCAAGGTATGCGGGGTAGGTTCCAAGTTTCAAGAATTGAGGAACCTGTTTCGACGGGTAGGTTCTAGGGTCTAGGTAGGTGGAACCTGGAACCTGGAACCTAGAACCTGAAACCTAAATAGGTTTTTTGTGTTTTTTCTTGGTTTATGTCTTCGCGTGATCCTGCGGTTTTTCATGTCATTAGATGATGAGTGTATAATCTAGAACTAATAGTCTGAGCTTTCATTCTATGACTCGTTAATATTTCATATTCTTTGTGTATTAAAATGTAAGTTATGGTCAGTAAATCATAGAAGCAAGTGGTAATCATTAAAGGTGATGATTGACTGCAATTGTTCAATTAATAATACAAATGGAACTTGGGTAGACCCAATAATCGACTTGGAACCTGATAGAGTAGGTTCCAGGTTCCAAAAAATGAGGGACCTATTCTTATGGGTAGGTTTCAGGTGGAACCTGTATAGAACATGGAATTGCTCACCCCTAGTATTACTTCACGCAATGACTTCTCATTTTAATTGTATTTATTTCAACCATAATGCCAGGAAATTAGTCTTTTGGATTTTTTTTTGTGAATGACAAGCTTGTTCATTATTGTTGCGTTCATTTTCTTTTGTTTTAACTAAAAATGAAATTAAAAAAAAGAACCTGTTAGACCCTGGAACCTGTAGGTTCTAGGTTTCAGGTTTCGACGGGTAGGTTCCAGGTTCCAAAAAATGAGAAACCTGTACCCGATAATAGGTTACAGGTTTCAGGGGGAACCTGTAAGGAATCTGGAACCGCTCACCCCTAGTGATGAGTAACTGTGGCTTGTTGTAAAAGCCAGTTTCTTCTAAAGTGGGGCTTCTTGTATTTTTAGGTGGCCTTCTTATTGGCAGAACCTTAGCAGTTCTCATTACTATGACTTTGGCAACATCAATGGCTGCTAGGAGGGGCCCTATACCTATGGCTGGTTATCAGATCTGCACGCAAGTATGGTTGACTGTATCTTTGCTTACTGATGCTCTAGCAATTGCTGGCCAGGTACCTAATCAGCTCTTTCTGTTCTATATCTTGTCATAGATTAGCACAGCAAAATCGATGAACAAACCGATTTCTGAGTTCTCCCTTGTCATAAAATTGCCTTTCTACTCGTTTGCTGTCTTGGTTAAGCAATTTACATAGTACTCTATGAAGAAACTGTCAAATAGCCTTAAAGCCTGACCAAGTTATCCTTTTAAGAATCACTCTATAGAGCAAGAAATACTCCATATTCTCGCAGTTCAGGTGAAATATCAACATGAAAATTCATATTTGGGAAAAATTTGCAAATGACTATAATGTCTCTTGCAACTTTCTGACATTGCAAAGGATAACATTGGTGCGTCATTCACCTCCAGAAGTTTCATCATTAAGCTAGCGTCTGCACATGAGTGCACCTCATACTGAGGTTCTTTTTCTTTAAATTGCTCAACTTTTCTCACAGGCTCTTCTTGCCCGTGGTTACTCCCAAGGAGACTATCAGCAAGCACGTGAAGTGATATACATGGTTCTTCAGGTATATTGTTGCTTCAGCATGTTGTTATGCTATTGTGAAAAAAGATCAATTTCTTGATTATTGTTCCAAGGAAATAGAGAGCACTTTGTTCCCACCTTACTTTGTAATGTCAACTTTTTGAACAGATTGGTGTGGCCACTGGTGTTGCTCTAGCTGTCATTCTTTTCGTTGGGTTTGGAGCCTTTGCAAGATTATTCAGCACGGATTCTGAAGTTCTGGAGATTGCCTGGTCGGGTATTCTGGTAAGAGAGTGTCTATGCTAATGCCTAATGGTCTCTAATTGGACTTTTTGCTTTCTGGTTCTGGGTAAGAAAATGCCAAAATGCACATGTTCGTCATGTTTCTGAGAAAGGTTTGGCAGTATGAGCAAATGTTGAAATGCACGTGAGGTTATTTTCATACCTAAACTAAACCAAACTCAAAGCGGAAAGCTCAAGCTGAACATTTCCAATTTTTTTTGTTTGGTTTAGGCTATCCCGATCTGATCCTGGGCATCTTCTAGATTTTTCTTTTCTCACCAGGACAACAAATTTTTTGAAACAGACCCACCCATCGGTGACCGCGTTGGTTTGCGCTCAGTTCCTTTCACGAGAGGTCCTGGGTTCAAAACTCGCCCATCGGTGATTTAAGTGGGAGGTCGTGGCGGTAGGATGCTGCGCTAGCCCCCCTGGAGGACTAGTCGGGCGTCACCGCTAGTTTGAGCCCTAGCTCGCCGGCCACGCGGACACCTCGATTATCAAAAAAAAAAAACAAATTTTGAAACAGTGATGCTTAATAAAACCATTAGCTTGCTCCATTGTCTTGGCAGTCATGGATTCAAGTGTTAGAAACAGCTTCTCTTCCATGCATGTTAAGTCTGCATTTAGACCATCCTTTCACATCCTGCAATCTAGGAGCCTTGCACCAGAATGCTCCTTATACTTTAAGAGGATGTTGTGAAACTTCTTAATACTTCCAGTCATCTTCTCAAAACTTTCGAAAAGAGGAGGAAAACGGAAACATTTAATGCAAACTGTCCTTTTGCCGACTTTTCGAGATTGTAGTCATGATGCTGCTAGATGTCTCACACTGAAATAATTTGCAGTTCGTTGCTGGATCTCAACCAATGAACGCTGTGGCCTTCGTTATTGATGGGCTCTACTATGGGGTTTCGGATTTCAGATATGCTGCCTATTCCATGGTGACTCTTAGCTCACTCCACATTTATTGAAAACTACAAAAGATACAACATTTCTGACCTCCTCCATTGCTGCACTAAATAGGTCTTTGTTGGGATAGTTTCTTCCGCTTTCTTACTGGCAACAGCTCCCACGTTTGGTCTTGCTGGAGTTTGGACAGGGTTGTTTCTCTTCATGACATTGAGGGTAGTGGCTGGCGTTTGGAGGTAAACAGGTTTTGACTTAAGCTAAGCTTTATGGCTTGTCAGTTCTGCACGCGAAGTTGGACCCTGAGGTAACCTTGACACGCACACATGAGCACATCTAAAGCACTTTGATTAAGAAGTTAATAACACGAGGTTTCATCTATTTCAGTGTCACTGTACGTGAAACTGAAAGGATAGGTGACTCCATGAGATGTCCTTGTGATAGATTATGTAGCGATAGGCAATTGGATTTATTAGCGCCGCATTGAGCACTGGCCACTAGGATGCCAAAATTTATTTGATAGTCGTGCATCTCCCTGACAACTGGTGATATGATTCCAGATTAGGAACAAAAGGCGGACCATGGGAAAGGATTTGGTCCGAGGCAGAGCAGGGAAGTGACTGATATCAAATTGAGTTTGCACATGATTGCTTTTCCCGGCGTGCTTATAGGAAGCGCCACGAAGGGACATATACATGGCCAAATAAAGTTCACGAGAAGCCTGATTCTTCCCACTCGATAGCAGTTCACTTTACAAGTGGCTTATATCCCCATTAACAGCTAATTGGAGCAATGCCGGCACCAAAACAGAAATCAAGCTACCAGAAATAAGTGGTGAGATGGAAAGAGGTTAATTTTGACGGCCATGGCTGGCCTGCGTCTTTGCGCCTTGACCATACAGCTCTCACTGGTTGATATATATATGAAACTCCCATAGCACACCAACTGCACATCACATTGATGGCCTCCAAATTATCGAAGCAAACGGTTTTATTTATCTTCCCCTCTTTTACCATGAGCTCTCTGGACGGCGCATCTGGATTTCTGCTCGTATCTCCGTAGTTGGTTATTAGTTCATTCAACGTTGCCGTAGTTCCCTGACCGGTTATTGAATCTTTTGCTTGATATAGTTACTGTCCTCGAGCAATACACAATGAATGTACTTGTGTAATCATCCTGAAGTAATGAAACCACGTGAGTAGGAACTTCTGATGATATCCATGTAATTTGGTTCTGGGTTACTCAAGATTCTCTTAAGCAGGGCTATCGTATAATCATTAAAAAAATCCGTAAGATTGGGGAAAAGATATAGTTCATTAGAAAAATCCTCAAAAAAATCACATTATTCATTCTTGTTCACAACCTAATTCCTCTTGATATATACGAAGTTCATTTAAATATAACAAATTAGACAATGGAACAATGTGTTATATGTACATACAGTCTCAAGCGTGTTTGATTAAAGAACTATTTTCATATTCGACGTTGTTAACGATTTCTATATTACATTCCATGTAGATAAGTTAATGGTATTTAAAAGGTTAGAATTTTTCAATTTGTAAGTAATCTTATCCTTTCAGACCATGAAGCACCAGTAATATTCACTCAACAGATATGCCTCTCCTCCATTAATGGTAGAAGATTGAAACCATGAATCTATACCCAATCATTGTGAGCACCAGACACAAGAATGTGCTGAACAAGCACCAAGAGGGATTTCTAGCAAAAAAAAAAGCACCAAGAGGGATAGTATGTGCCCAAGAGGAAAGAGTACTGCAAACACGCTTTAGGTTTTAAATCATCTTCAACCACTTTACCATAATTGTGGAGGGTCATAATTAATTAATTCCCAGAAGATACAATAGACTTGAAGCAAAATGCAGAAAAATACCAAGTCGTTATCGCATTTCTAATATGGAGGTTGCTGAATCTTCTCTTCGACCGATTAAATAGAGCATCGGCCGCAGCACCTCCACATCAACCATCCACCTAGCTTCAAGTCCCCTGTATATATACTAATGCATCAGGCATCTTCTACCACTAAACGGTCGCAGGGCCTTCAAAACCTTTTTCCGCCACCTTCCACACATCAGCAACATCATGCACTTCTCTCTACTGTGATGTCCAAGAAGAAAAAAATTTGGATTAACATATGCCGAATCATGAAAAGATGTAATCATGAATGATAATCTCAGAACGTGCAGCCCCATGAAACTTAATATACAAAAGCATGAAAACATGTAATTGGAGTACACTTCTGAGTGATGACGTGTGGATTTTTTCATGTCCTTTAGACATGGTAATTATGTGAAAAGCAGTACAAGATACCAACTCATCAACTGACTACGACGAATTGTTTCTTTAAGGAAAATTTTTAATCGGGTAAAGGTCAAGATCCGCGGCTTTGAAGCATACATTGCCTTCCAGATTCAGGAAGGCATCTGGCCAGTTGTTCATAGCGTAAATTATAGTCACATGTAAATATGACAGTGCTTCAGAAAAACTAGAAGGGAGTGCTAAACCTACAAAATCCCAGTGGTTGTCAACTTCAACAAAGGAAATAGATATTTGCCAGCACCGCCAATTGTTTTCAACAGGACTAAATTAGCCAAGCTAATAAATGAGACCCGGAACTGCTTGTTAAAGAAGTCGAAGTATTGGCATAACTCAGTCACTCGCCAGATGCCTAAACAGAAGTCAATGTTGATCCCCATCCCCGGCACACACCATTACTTTTCCCCCTCATATTCCTGGTTAGCTCCATTCCTTAAACCAGCAATTAACTTGATAATCTATTTGTGCTTTGTCCAAGTGAGACCCATCACCTTACGGGTGATTGCAGAGTACAAGGAAACCAACGTTGAGAAGTACTTCCTTCAACCAAAATACCCAATGCCCAGGAAATGAGATGCTTAGAGTACTGATTTCATACACACTGAAATACTCAAAGATGATGAGGTCCCCAAAACTGAATCCACACCACTCTAGGAGTCGAGTGACGTTTCAAGGAAAAAAGCAATTGAAGCCAAAAAATCAAAGATTCAATCCCAGAACTAATCGAACTTCACATTCATACCTCATGACGTTGCAACTAAATTTCTATGTATATGCACTGTTAAACTTAAGCCAAGTATCCTGTTGCGCATCCCATTGACAATCTCCAGTGTTTAGAAAGTGCATGGCCGTCCTTATCTTGCTAACTATAATGAGCTACAAGATGGCATTCTGTCAAAAGTAATTTCATCACTTCTTTAAGGAAAGTACAGGATCATTACTCTCCAGTCATATTCTCCTCTTCTTTTTCTCCTCTTTCGATGCCTTGGGAAGTACGCAGATGTATAAACTGAATCAAAAGCTAAATGAACACATTTCCAAGTTTCATTTAAATCCTGAAAAGGGTGATGACTTCATGAGAGACAATAGCATCTCAATCCAGCAGAAGACTTGGGCAAGGTCAATTAAGAACCGACGTGCTGCATATTCGAAAGGCAAACGGACTAGATTATCAAAACTTATTCAGATACAAGAGAATGACACTTACCACTAGCCATCGACCACCCTCTTGATCCCAGCAACTTCCGCCCTCAACTTCGAATTATGTTGCTCCTAACCACGAACGCAACACAAACTCATGACAAGTCAGCACAGAACACGAAACCGATGCAGATTGATCAACACGAGAAGCCTGACGAAACATGAAGTACTCCAATAACCCCAGAACCCAAAATTCTACCTTTGATGATGCTAAAAATAAGCGTGATTTCATACTAGAACATTTACTTCAACACCCATCACGAATCTCCCCAAACAAGAGCAGAACTTAAAAGCTCCAATACAGAAATGGGGAGCTCACCATCTCATGGACCTGAGCAGAGCTCTCCTCAACGAGCCTGGCCAAGCTGTCAATCTTCGTCAACATCTTCTCATACAACTCCTCCAACCCAGCAGTGTAGTTACTAGCTTCCGGCCCCATTAGCCTGCCCAATTTCGCGACCGGAAAACCCTCGGCGATCAAATCAATCTCGTTCTGGTGCTTCGCCGCCTGCCTCATCTCACTCAAGTGCTCTATCAAATCAATCTCGTTCTGGTTCTTCGCAACCTGCCTCATCTCGCTCAAGCGCTCTTCCTTGCCGTCCTCCTGCATCATCGACGGCCCCCTCACGTCGCAGGCCAGCCACGGGAACGACGAGCTCGGGCTGAAGTTCCCGTAATGGCCGCGGAACCCCGGCCCGATGTTGACGACGTCGACCGACCTCGGCTCGAAGGTCTCCGCCGCGGTGCGGAACTGGAAGGCGCGGTACTCGTGGGTGTGGATCGCGGAGTCGAGGGGCGGGGTGGAGAAGAGGAGGAAGACGCGCGGGGAGAAGCGATCGGAGGCGCCGATCGGGAAGGAGAGGGAGGGGTCGGAGGAGAGGGAGGCGGCGACGCTGAATTCGCGCATGGAGGGCTGGAGGCGGGAGCGGCGGCGGGAGGAGAACCACCCGATGAGGCGGTGGTGGGAGCGGTGGTGGTGGAGGAGGACGAGGGGCGGGGAGGGGGAGAGGAGGCGGCCGAGGGGGTCGAAGAAGGAGAGCGGGCAGCCGGGGCAGAGGAAGGAGGTGACGGTGGCGACGAGGGCGGCGGAGGAGTCGTCGGAGGCGGCGGCGGCGGAGGAGGCGGCGGAGGAGGGGTCGTCGGAGAGGGCGGAGGGGGCGACGGGGGAGACGTGGCCGAAGAGGAGGCCGTCGGCGTCGGCGGGGGAGGAGGAGACGCGCTGGAGGAGGGAGGAGAGGGTGGGGCCGGAGATCGCGATCTTCTGGAGAGGCAGGTCGTCCATGGCGGAATCCGATCCAGAGAAGAGACCGGAGAGGGAGATTGCGAACGGTCGGCGTCTGCCCGTCAGATCACTTATATATGTGCTCGTCGCCGGCGAAAATCGTACTTGTAATTTGGGTCGATTTGAGTCGGGCCAAAAGCCGAATGCAATAACAACGTCGTTCTTATTCATGTTGTGTTTTTTTTTTGTTGTTGGAGTTTTCTTGTTCGCATCCGGACTAGTAGCTTGACTAGGATCTGCCTTGCTCGGCTAGGTTATGTTGGACCGCCAGAGGTACATAGGCTCGGTGGTTGGGAGTAGACGGACCAATGTCGATCGTCAAAGAGACCTGCTCGGCTACTAAGGCTGCGCAGGGCAACCATTTTGTGTCCGGAAACAGAATGTGTATATCCTGATTGAGGATGGAAAATCTTTCGAACGAAAAAAAGTGACATTGATGAGAGCAACCCGCTCTCGTCCATAAATTTGAATCTAAATTGATATTTAACATGTAGTCGATTATAAATGAAATGTATAAATAATTTTAAAAAAAAAAAATAGAGAAGACATCCAAAAATGGATACTTTAAAATCTATGTTGATAAAAATTATTTAAATAAATAAATTTTGAGTTCATGAAATACGGACCGGTTTTCAATCGGTGATATTATTTGTGCACGATTTCATGCTACAAAGTCGAAATTGGAAGAGGAAAAAGCAAGAATAGAAGAAAGAAAGGAGAGAGATGTTTGCTTCCGATTAGAAGTAAGCAAAATGAAGAGCACCGGTCATTTTTCCTGTTCAAGTGGAACCAATGAATTTCGGTTCGGTTCCCGATTTCACGTGTAGAACAGATCACTCGGATCACTCAGATCACTCGGACTAGACTGTTTTTTTTTTAATCTGTAAAAAAAATACTCTAATCTATCTCTCAGTTTACAAGGGCAAACCCTTTAAGGCTGGAGTGATTATGTGCATGTGAATAAGATGACAAGAACAAATCAAAACACAACAGTAATTGCTCATTTCAATCAAATTTTGCCACAAATTGAAAAAATATCTGTAAAACATATAATATTACACGTAATTCATTGATTATAGAAATGTCTTGATTATCAGTTATATCTTCAATTTCATCTTGAACATTAACGACAAATAAATAAAAAAATCGAATATACCTTCGATTCCATTGGCCAACCCGAAAATCGGTCCGTTTCCTAGTTCCTGGGTGGAAACCAGACCGCTGGAGAACCAAGCACCCGTACTTCTAACATCATATCCTTTGCACATCTCTTAACACTATTGTTACTGTATGGAGAAATGTCTAAATTATGATCTTACTTGTGCTTCATTGTTTTTTTTTTTTGGGTCGAATTTGTGCTTTATTGTTTACTAGTACAAGAGGCACATGTGAGACGTGTCAAAAGGGAATGAACAGAAATATAATAGGTGATCAATGGATAGGATCGTGCAGGGTGGGTCTCGGGGCTCAATTGCTATGCATAAAAATAAGCGAAACCCGAGTCGAATTCTTGCCCTAGTTCCAATTTCTAACGCCACTCGAAACTCTAAAAAGGTTACCCAAGAATTAGATATTTCAAGATTGGAGAATATTCTAGTGCACTTAAATGCGTGACTAAATTGATTTCAAGTAACTTTTAGAGAAATCTCACGTGAGGGAGGGAAAACTAGAAACAATCATATGAGAAAGCTAAAGGAAAAGGGGGAGCTCCTAAAAAAAACCAACCTGGGAACTTAAAACAGACCAGTAGCCATATCTATGGGTCAAACCAGACTGTCCTTCCCTGAAAAGTTCTCATCTCTTTCACCACAGCTACTGCCAATTAATCCTAATACACAACACTCTAACCATAGAACAGTCGTACTTGCATCTCATTGCGGTTGCCGCTACCTGCCGCTATGGCCTCTAAGCTATTTGTCACCTCGCTTGTCCATTGCCCCTGCCCGCATCTCTCTTTCTACTCAGAATGATCTCCAAACAAGGTTACCATGGCCTTTGCATCCTCATATCTGAGCTTGCAAGACCATGGATGCCTTGGCGAGGTCGTAGCGGGCCACGATCACCTCAGGTCAAGAAGCTATGTTGTCTGCAACCTCGACCGAAGGTCGTTGTTGCTGCCTAGAGAGAAAATGGGGAGCGGTGGACAGATTTAGATTAGGGTTAGGATGTTGGGGGTATGTGGTTTTGAGGTTAGGATTTTCCTTTGACTCTCTTCTCAAGGAAAGGTACTGTAGTCGTTCCAATTAAGCATACTACCATGGAATATGCACATATGCAATGGTAAAATGGAGATAATGCCAAGTGATAAATGAGTGATATTCCGGGACAATGTTTGGTATCTTCCTTCAGAAGAACCACTGTCATTAAATCGCAAACAACAGCAAGATTTCTTAAATCGCGAACAACAGTGAGATTTCTTTGTGGGGTTCAATCACAAGACCGAGAAATCTCATCTTCCCCACCGATTATCATTGCCACTTGCTCGAATAACAATCTCTAGCGTTTAATATACGATTCTCTCCACCAGCTATTGGAACCTTTGCTTTCATAGAACGAGTCTTGCTTCATTGTTTTCTCCTCATCAGTTTCCACTTTTGGCATCTGCTTCCACTTTGGGCAGTGCAGAAGCTAGTTACATCGGACACATAGAAAATCACATGCTAACCTGCTTTGCACCTCCCAAAACACTCGAGAAACCCATTAATTAGCTTCCTTTCTAGGAACCCATGAACCATACAACATAAGAAATAGGAAAGAAAATAATGTCTTGAGCATCAATCGGTACAGACTATATATTAAGGTTACAATTTGGGGGTGGCTTGCGCGGTGGTGTCGTAGACCTTGAGGAAGAACCTGGTGGGCGGAATTGAGAGCCTCTTGTGGAGGATGTCGCCCAATGTGGCGATCAGCTTCCTCTTCACTTGTGTGTTGATGCCTCCCATCGCCACTATCTCTGTGTAAGCAGCTGGCTCTTTGTTGCCCTCAAATGATATTGCCAAGGACCCCTTGAGGATCACCATCACAAACTGTGTCCAAGAAAAGCATCCAAAACTTAATTTACCTCTCCTTTTGAGGTTTTTTCCAATATATCTGTTATTGAGAATTAACTTTACTTTGAACTCAAGGGAAATTTACGTTCCTTGGAGCTAAAGAAGTGAGTGCATGTGGACCATGCTTACTTCATTTGTAGATTACAGTTAGGTGGCTGAAAGGGAAATAAAGATTTTGCATTCTTGGGACCTACGCATGATGCAAGTTTCCAATATGTTTTGAACAATTATGAGCTAATTACCTTCAACTAGACGAGATCGATTTCGCAAGTTCCAGTTTGCAGAATTTTATCATTTCTTGTGAATCTAATTCATCGATATTTCCCACAGCGAAACCCTGGAAGTGTCCTATAAGTTTTGCACTCTCTGTCCTTTCCTCAAATCTTTTGTATGCGCGAATTAGTTGGGTTGGAGGTCACATGGCTAATGCGGGACGCAGTACTGAGAGATTAGTTTAGAATTGTATAAAGGGAAGGGATATAGACAGTAAGCAAAGGAAGGAAATTTAGACAGAAGAATTCAGAGAGAAGCAGGGAAGAACTCAAGTGCAATCATGCAAAAACTAAATAGAAAGAGCTGCAGAGCCAGTATTTATGGAAGTTGTGGGCACCTAAACCCTTATTCTTAAGAAATAAAGCCTTCCTAAATAATTCGAAATAAAATAGAAATTCCATAGCAAAATAGGAAATAAATAAATGAAACAAGAATAATTCAAATTAAGTAACTATATCCATTAGATGGCACTTATCGTCCTCTTCCTACCTCAACTTGCTCTTTATTTTCCTTTACTTTTTTAGTACTCTGTTACAATTTTGCACTTTCTTCGCAAAAGAAACTTGTTTTTCGTTGGGGTGGTGTCGTGTGTTTAGCTAGTGACCATGCAAGAATGGGAAAACACATAAGATCCAATATGCCCAGGTTTTGGCTATTCAGATTGGAACTTCCTTCAATCTTATAAACCATACTAATCGAACTGATCCGCCACTGAAAAAAAGAGTGTTTCACTTGTTGAACAGATAAACCATGGCATGGAGTTTTTCATCTTGCACACACAACCATTCACTGATAATGAGAGAGAGAGAGAGAGAGAGAGAGAGAGAGAGAGAGAGAGAGAGAGAGAGAGAGAGAGAGAGAGAGAGAGAGATTACATTCTCGGGTCTGCCAATGATGGCGGCGGTGGCTTTAGTGGCATCGGCGAAGATGGGGTCGAGGTCGAGCCCGTCGAGGCACACGTTGGTCGAGATGTACACGCACGGCATCGTCTCAACTCTTCTTCTTCCTGCTCCTCTTCCTCCTCCTCTAGGAGTGGTATATATATTGGCTCCTGCTTCCAAGAGATGCTGAACATATGGGTGTGGATGAGTTGTCACAAACCCCATTTGATCAAATGTCACGCAGGAGTTGAAAACTAAGAACCACACTCACTCTGTGGTGGTGATGATGATGGTGGTCGTGGTGCTGCGCTTCTGGGAAACGCACTTTCACGCTTCCATTATCTTCTTCTTGGTGGGCTTGGAGAGAGAGAGAGAGAGTCGACGTGGAGTGCGGGGTCAGCCACATTCACTATGGCTGGAAATTTTAAAGCGTCATGCCCACGTGCCAGACAGCTCAGTTTCGTCAACTATCGTCAACTGCATAATCCTCACATATAGTAAATAAATTGACTTAATTAGCATGTGATTTTGTTCATCAAACTCAGTTGCTTAATTGCTATGATGGCAACAAAATGAAGTCTTAACATATTAGGAGGAAATATTCCAACTACTGCCTCTTATGATATCTGTATATTTAAATAAAGGGAAAATACCACTAAAAATCCCAGACTATGCCACTTGTGACAAATTTATCCTGAATTTTTTTTTTTTACAAGAAAAACCCTAAACTATGCCGCTTGTGACAAATTTACCCTGAACTTTTTTTTGTGACACAAAAAACCCCAAACTATGCCACCTGTGACACATTTACCCCACAATACTTTGGCCCATGGGCATTTTCGTCTTTTTCCTTTTTCTGTTTTTTTTTCCTTTTGTCTCTTTTCCCTCCGCCGTGGCCGGCGAGGGCCTCGCTGGCGTCAGGCGAGAGTCGCCCTCGCCGGCGTCGGGCGAGGCTGCCCTTGCCCGCCCAGGCGAGGGCGATGTTCGCTCGACGCCGGCGAGGGTTGCCCTCCTTGGATCTGGCGAGGGCGACCTTCGCCGGCATCGGGCGAGGCTGCCCTCGCCCGCCCAGGCGAGGCTACCCTTGCCCGCCCAGGCGAGGGTCGCCCTCCTTGGATCTGGCGAGGGTGACCTTCGCCCGACGCCAGTGAGGGTCACCCTCGCCGGATCCGGCGAAGGCAGCCCTCGCCGGATCCGGCGAAGGCAGCCCTCGCCGGCTTCCCTCTGTCGGCGCCGGCGGAGGGAAGAGAGAAAAAAAGAAAAAGGAAAAAGACGAAAATGCCCATGGGCCAAAGTATTGTGAGGTAAATGTGTCACGGGTGGTATAGTTTGAGCTTTTTTGTGTCACAAAAAAAAGTTCAGGGTAAATTTATCACAAATAATATAGTTTGGGGTTTTTCGTGTCACAAAAAAAAGTTCAAGGTAAATTTGTCACAAGTGACATAGTTTGGGATTTTTTTATGGTATTTTCCCTTAAATAAATATGAGATACTCTTTCCCTCACTTGATACTTCGAATTGGTACTCGAAGTCTACATTATGAAAATTAGTTTTATATTATAAGACAAGTGAGTAATATGGTTTTTGTAGTGACTTTACTTATTTTTTACTTCATAAGTTTTGTAAAACCTACACTTTGATTTTCATTTAACCCGAAGTCGTCAAATAGAATTTTATACATTTTTTTTTTAATAATTTTTCATAGCTCATACAATTTTTCTTAATTTTTTACTCTTGAGGAAAATTCATAAATAGAAATCAGAAGTAGGTGATATATGTAGGCAAACAAGGTTTAACCCAAAACTTTCGTATACTTTATACCATATCAAATTTTAGGAGAAACTATTGTTTTACTTTCCTTCGCGGGAGAAAACAAAGTTGGGGAGAGGCGACCGGCGCAAGTAGTAGATCCTTCAGCTTAACTATTAATCCACCTTTTCCCTTTTGCCGTCATTGTATATTTGAATGCATTTAACTTAAAATGATTATTGTGATGCAAGGGAATGACTTCAAGGAATCATCTTCATCGTGACTTGAACTCTTGATAACGCTTCTTGAGAGATAATTTGGCGTTAGGTCCTCATCAAGTTATCCTAATACGTTGCGATCAACTCGACAATCCCCGAGTTTAATAACCCCATGGATATAATTGTGGGTGCTCAATCATACATATATAATCCCTATCAATGAGGTGAGCTAGACAAACACATGAAATGGACACACCACGACTCACGAGCATGATTTTTTAGCTTGAGTTTTCCATTGAACTAGCAAAGGCGGTCCCCTGACAATCCAAGCTTGCCTTATCTTCTAAAACCCTAATGCAATGGTGGTTCCACGAGTAGATTTTTCTAATCGCACGTTGTTAATAAAACAAACATATGTTCCTCAAACTTCTCTCCCATCAATTGATTCTTTAATCAACAAAAGTAATTGGAGAAATGGACGCGCCATGATGGGAAAGGGAAGACAAGAAGTCGAGGGTTTGCGTCGACGAGACGCGATCTTGGAGAATATATTTTTGTTATGCGTGTAAGTTTGTTAAAAAATTCTTGCTTTAGCATGCGTGTGTGTGTCCATGTGTTTGTCATGCAAGAGTATGATATACTAGGAAACAAAGCACGATAGTCCATGCGTGCGTGTCCATGTTGGTCGCATAATAAATGATGGATTCAAGGCTACGCCAACCTACTTAATTCTCTGTATCTGAATCTTTATGTATTCAAATTATTTTATGTGGTCTTTATAATTCTCTTCTGCTTGAAGTTGGCATTGCCGACAGATGGGAAGATTCTTGAGGGCCGGAAAAGCAATCCCATGACTTTGGTGATTATGTACTATGTTGTAATGATATGCTGTTTTGAGTATTAGGGAATGCATTCGATGTTCAATGTCACTGAATTTTGAACATGCAAAGTTTTTAACACTGGTGGAAGATGGGAATTGGTTAAAGAAAGTGGCCATTGTTACCAAAAAAAAACGGGAAGAAGAAGTGAACATAGATTGAATTCATACAAAATAGCATGACACATTCGAAATGAGAACGAATTTTTCGGAAGTTTGAAAAATAAAAAAAGAGGGCACGGAGTGGCCATTCAAGGTCACGATGCACTACCGTCGGATGCTAAGAAGTAGACTCTGGCGGCTGTCAAATCGAAGGCCACCAAAAGTCGGTGGCGACTTCATTGGCGATTGGAAGTTTTGATTGCCGATGATGTCAATGCTAGTGATGATATAGCCACAATTTGTTATCAATGGTATATCTGACAATCGTCACAAAAAAAAAAACATTTACATTCAATTTATGATTACTAATTTTCTCTTTGTAATTTGTAATTTGTATTTTACCGTGTGTCGCATTCGTGTTCTGATAATGGGCCGTGCCAGACACTGACAACTCTTAATCTAATCAACCCAAACATTCACATGAGCCACAGCCTGACAAAAACGTACCTTGCCCTAACATGCATATGACAATATGAAAGGCAAAAACGTACCTTGCCCAAACATTCTCATGTGATGTTGTCTTGTGCAGTGTCATGACATTTTTAAACCACGTGGTATCACCAAAAGGAGGAACAAAAACCAATTAAAAAGCGAGGAGGGCCTAATCTTCAGGTATGTCTTGGTCAACACAAAATTTAATTGCACTGAATTAAATTAGACAATGGCAATTGAATTCAAGGGCACATGTGAAGTGTAGCCAAGAATAATGTTAGGTGCAGGCATGAGTTACGGAAACAGAGAAACAATCCTCCGCGGATGTGTAAAACGTTGAAAGGGTCATATCGGGCTCGCTAGATAGTAGTGCCTCGGTTCCTAGGATCTTCCCAAACCGTAGGTTTGAGTTGTTTATGAAACCAAATACGTAAAACTGAAAAGTAAAGAGAAGTCACCCCGATCAATTTATTTAACCTAGGTCCATTTATACCTAGGATGCCTATGTGCAAGGTGACTGGCCTATATGTGTGAACCATAGCCTTAGTTTAGATGTTCAATTATGTGACGGACAGATTAGCATCCCAAAATGCCCTTTTTGTACCACAACTCTTCGAGTAAGCCTTAACTTGCGTTATCATGCATTGTCAATTATTCATTTAAAAACAGTTTAAAAATCTAATTTTAACCGATGCGTGATGAGGCGGAAATATGGAATCATCTTGCGTAATGACTAACCCCATTGTGTTTGACCGTGCACTCTGAAATACGTTGTGCATAATGTATGATGTGGAATGAAACATTGGATATTATGTGATAAAAATCGAAATCAAACGACCAGTAGTTGAACATGACTAGAAGTCTAATGCAAGGTGACATGGTGATCGAATACGATATATGCGAATGAATATGACATGCATAAATGAGATGCGTAATGACCTAAGAATCGGGAAAATTACCAATTCAGTCCTTAACCTATTGCATTTGTGCCAATTCAGTCATCAACCTTTCAATTTGGCCAATTCAGTCCTAAACCTTTTGCAAACCAGCCAATTCAGTCCTTTTGGCCGGCCGGCGCTGACGTGACCGCCGGCCGGCTGACGTGGCAATATTTTAATATTTTTTATTATTATTTTCGAATTTTTTTCTTTTTTCTTTTTTTTTTCTTTTCCTTCTCCCCCCTGGCCTATCCGGCCAGGGGGGAGGCTCGCCGACGAGGCCCGGCTCCGGCGAGGCGAGCCGGGCCCTCGCCGCCGTTGGGCGAGGCGGAGCTCGCCCGGCCAAGGCGAGCTCCGCCTTGCCGAAGCCGGGCAAGGCGGGCTCGCCCGGCCATGGCGAGTCGGGCGGCGGCGAGGGCCCGGCTCGCCATAGATGGGCGAGTTGCGCCCTCGCCCAGATCTGGCGAGGCGGAGCTCGCCATGGCTGGGCGAGCTGCGCCCTCGCCCGAGCTGGGCGAGGCGGAGCTCGCCATGGTTGGGCGAGCTCCGCCTCGCCAGATCTGGGCGAGGCGGAGCTCGCCTTGGCCGGGCGAGCTCCGCCTCGCCCGGATCTCGGCGAGCGGGCTCGCCATGGCGAGGCGAGCTTCGCCTCGCCGCCACCGGGCGAGCTCGCCCGGCTCGGCTAGGCGGAGCTCGCCTTGGCTAGGCGAGCTCCGCCCTGGCCCAGTGGCGGCGAGGGCCCAGCTCGCCTCGCCGGAGCTGGGCCCTCGCCGGTGAGCCTCCCCCCCTGGCCGGACAGGCCAGGGGGGAGAAGGAAAAGAAAAAAAAAATTTCGAAAATAATAATAAAAAAATATTAAAATATTGCCACGTGGCGCCGCCCGGCGTCACATCAGCCGGCCGGCGTCACGTCAGCCGGCCGGCGGCCACGTCAGCGCCAGCCGGCCAAAAGAACTGAATTGGCTGGTTTGCAAAAGGTTTAGGACTGAATTGATCAAATTGAAAAGTTAAGGACTGAATTGGCACAAATGCAATAGGTTGAGGACTGAATTGGTAATTTTCCCCCTAAGAATCGGATATGGCATGAGGGAATGACATTCGCAATAATGTGGCAATTAAATACAACACGTGAGACATTTGCAAATGACATGCATGATGACGTGATAATCAATCATGAATGTGCGAATGGCATGTATGCTGATGTGGAAATCAAATATGACGTATGAATTGAATTTTGAATGTGTTAATCGAACACGTGTGATCTGTCAAATTAGTCTATATAATATGTGTTGTGACCAGGAGAGAGCATGAATGCAATTTCAAAATTCGCGTGGGGTCACATTTCGAAATCGAATTTTCGAATGATTAATGATGACACATTGCACGGGGTGCCTCAGTTCATGAACTCAGATCGAATTGCTTACTAGTCCTTGACCTCCGGCTGCATCACCATAGCCTACCCATTCATCCAAATTCAATCCCCCCTAGCACTTCTAATACTCAACCACCTTATATCGCCATTCACAATGCGCAGTTTATATTTCCATAACAAGTAACATGCAATCTATGGACTTACGGAATAGTCGGCACCGTGATCTAAATTCGGCAATATAACGGTTTAAATTCATATCTAAGATTCACATTCTTCGTTACTACAGCCCCAGCCACAAGCATAATTTCTATTCCTATTTTGGCAGCATAACTGTAATGCCCTAGGTCCGCCACTGTACACATATTGTCTGCTTTGGGCCCCACTGGGTCCTCACGGTTTTGTTCCTCTGGGCTTCGCCCAAAAAACGCATATTTACATATAGAGAACCTCAAACCTTATAAGCCAGTCCAGGACTTCCCTCTTAGGCCTTCCCTGCGCACGTCCAAGGACCAAGGCGCGGACGCACCGCCATCCCTCCTCCCCATGCACCGCCACCTGGGCCGTCACAATAACAACGTAATGTTTAGATTCGAAATTCGATTTCAGCATTGCAACAGCCTAGAAGTGGGCAACATAATGCTTTTGAGTATTAGACGAGTATGCTTGTGCTCAAAATAGGGGGACAACCTTCAGCGCGAGACTCACGATCCTCCGAGCCTTGAATGCAACGCACTTAGCGCCTCATCTTAAGGCTCCCGGCTCCCCGGGCTTGTGCTCGGTGACTTCCCGCGACCGTAACTTGCTCACCTGAAGTCCGATTCGCGTGATCTTTATGTGAGGGAGCTCAGTTAGAAAGCGCCAACCAGTAAAAAATTGCTAGGATAAATCACGAAACTACGGACCTTGAGATTTTGGCAAATATCGTGTCCCTAGGCTCGCATCTATGAACCGGATGGCATCTTGGTAACTTAACACTTTGAAAAATCAAATTTTCCAACAACTTAGAGATTTGGAATTTTGCTCAAATCCGAGACCTCTAGGTATGGATTTTGGGGTTCAGAACTTTTTTCGGGTATTGGAAAATTTGACCAAAATTCAGTGATAACTTCCTCATCCAACATCCGAGTGACTCGATTTTTATTACGCTAGAAAGCTCGCAAGCTCTAGCTTCATGATGTGCAATTGAAATCTGGAAATCGTAAACTTCTCGACACAGCAAACATGGGCGACTGGTCCCAAAGAGTAAAAACTGTCATGCTAACGTGAAGGTACAGTCACCCACATTGCGTTCAAAACCCATGTAAAAAGCGAAGGAAACAAAACCGAATCAAACCAAGCCAATTGAGATGAGTCAAGACGAAGTCGATGGAGACGAAATCTCCAACTTCAGATTCAACTTCAAGACAGACATAACCTCGGCCTTCCAAAATTATCTTGGCAAGGAATGTCTTATGAACAAATCTTAATTGGGAAATGAAGTTTACCGCCTCAGTTCGATTCAAAAGGTGAAGCAACGTGAAAAGAGTGCCTTGAGGACCTTGAGGTCAAGAAACAAAAGCTTATGCCAAAATAGAGTCGACACAAGCTACGTGAACAAAGTTATAACGAGACATCGTCCCCGACGAATCTCAATATCAAAATTAGAAAGTGTCATGCTAACGTGAAAGTACAACCACCCATGCGTCAACTTATTGCGTCCAAAACCCACGTAAAAAGCTAAGGAAACGAAACCAAATCAAACCAAGCCAATCGAGACGAGTCAAGACGAAGTCGATGGAGCTGAAATCACCAACTTAGGAGGCTACTTCAAGGCAGACATAACCTCGGGCTTACCGTGCCAAAAAAAGCCCCACTTCAAGGGGTGTATTGAAATTATTTCCAAAAGTGAAGGAAATGACACCGAATCAAGCCAAGACAAGCTCTGACCAAATGGGAAACGAGTATTGAATCGAACCCGTGTAAACGTGTGTTGAATTGAAGAACACTCTGATTTCTAGAGATGGGATAAGTCAACCAGACAATCAAGACCCCCACGTCACCCAAGAGTGGAGAGCGACCACCCAAAGTGCACTTATTTTCGAGACAGCACATCGTGGAGGTGAAGCGTGCGTACCGAGGAGAGAGCACCATCCCAAAAGTGGGACTACAAAAGCTACTGTGATAACCCGCACAATGAACGACTAGTGGAGGATTGAATGATATTCGCAGACAAAAATAGACGAGAAATTTCTAATGAATGAACCGGGAAATTATCCAATCAATTCTAAATGTATTGCACGTGTGCTAATTGAATTCTAAACATTCCAATTTTCCCAATTCAGTTTTAAATTTTTCCTTGAAATTTGAATGTAATCCTTCCGGCAATTTTCGAAAAGATTTTGAGCAAACCTGCATAGCTCGCTCCGGCAACATAGAAATCTCTTTATTTGAATTTCGGAAAGATTTTGAGCCACTTACGTGAGCAGGTGTGACTGTCCATGCCTAAGGTCGAATTAAAGGGAACTAACTTAGGCTTTTGAAAAGAAAGTATAGAGCGCAAAGACATGAAAGTTAAACCAGGGTAAAATATAAGAAGGTACTATTCATTCATCGTCTTGAATATGGACTTCCTAGTGATGATGCCGTTGTTCGTGAGTTTGAAAGACGTTACATTCATTTTGATTAACCATTGGTTCGAGTATTATAACGAATATGGATCATTTAGTTTGCAATCATCAAAAAGTCGTTATTTTGGTCTAAAGTTATGTCATACAACAAGTTCACAGGATAAAACCAATCAATAGATATACCAAAATTACCTCCCATTTTCAGTGATCTGTCTATGTTAATAAGTTGAGTATTTCACTTGTTTAATAGCCCCTGTATTATCAGCTGAGTGATTCACTCTATGTACTCTTCCTTGTGTAATATTGTTTCATTCAGATTTTGATTACATGCATGGTTTTTTTTTTTTTTCCTGATGTCTCAAGATTGAGAAAGGAAAGATAACCTAGGAAAGGAATCCATTGAACATTAGTGGGCACTGCGCCTCCTTGTCCTGATGTTGTATTACCCTCAACATGCAATCAGCAGCACAAGCATAGACAGGATGAAATGGAATTGCTAATATATGTTTACATCATTGAGAAGCAAAACATCACGAGTATGCGAAAGAGCTGAGCAACACTAAATTTACAAAATTGACATGATTTGCACTTGCCATGCTGTTTTATTGACGACTTGCTCGGACAAGCTTGAAACTGAAGAAAACAAAATATTGGCTACCGCTCATAAGGAGTAACAAGCCAACTACAGAGATGATTCTGCTTAAACAAGAAAGCAAGAACTTCAGGAGATCAATGAACGATTGGATTGATTGACGTGGAGAACGGGCCGGTTATGCTCTTCTCAATCTCTCCTTCTCAACTTGGCTGCCTTCACTACAACAATCACGTAGAACATGTCTGTTTTACGATCCATATAGTCGAAGTAGACGCGTCTCCAATTCTTCTTGTACACCAGAACTCCAATAGCTCCCCAAAACCCAGCTGCAAATCCGAGCATTATGACAACGTAGAACATCACCTTTTCAAGCTTACCTTCTTCATCAGTATCTTCTTCTAGCGCTTGAGGGGCTTCCGCACTGGGGCATTTCTTTTTTAGAGGATTGCCGCAAAGGAGAGGATTGTCGGCATAAATGGAAGGATCATCAAGGGTCTGGATTTGATTTCCTTTCGGAATTGGCCCCGTGAAGTTGTTGTGTGACAAGTTTAGTTTGCTCAATGATGTAAATGCAGAAAAGCTCTGTGGGATTGCTCCTGAAAGTTGATTATTCGAAAGATCAAGTGACTCGAGTGATTTCATGTCACCAATCATAATCGGGATGCCTCCAGAAAGAAAGTTGTGGGATAATTTCAAGCCTCGTAACTTGGAGAGTGTTGACACCTAAATTTCGGCGCATCATTTAGTGGTTAATTGCATAGAAAATTAGGGATTAAATTTTAACCCCTAAACAAAAATATTAAAATTGCACAGCATATAGTTTATGTTCATATAGATTAATTGCATTCCGCATCGGATTGGCGGTGGCAAACGAGCTTAGAATTCGTCATGTAAATTGAGCTCGGGCACCGAACGAGACTCGGCTCACTCGGAAAGCATGGGCCGAAAATTACAAGTCAGAAGGGCTTGGTTGTCTTAATTTGAGCTTGAATTAGCCCATTATGCTTAATTAAATAAAAGTTCACATTAATTCAGCCCACTTGAGATTAAATGATAATTAAAGCCTAAGCCCAAGCCTAAGCCCATTAGGACTAGAAAGCCCGGCTAATTGACCTAGGTTTACATTATAAATACATCGTTATGTGTCATAATTAAAGGGGGCTCTCATAATCTGAAAATTAGAATTTTTAGAGAGAGCAAAAGGGAGAGAAAAAGTGAGAGAAAGAGAGAGAGACCGGCGAAGCCACCGCCGTTCGCGCTCCTCCCACTGTGCCTATGCCCGTGCTTAGCCGCTGCCCCTGGCGTTGTCCCTCCGCTGCACCACATATGCTGCTGCCCCGCTCCGTGACGTCCAACTACGCATTGCGACGACGAAGTTGCCCTTGATTCTGCACCGAGAAATTTGCAGCTACTCCGTCCCGTGATCAACAACGTTGCTGCGCTGGCGTCACACTGACCACCCCTTTGTGCTCTTCGCGATAAAGTTGTTCTTGTGCCTTTGCAGATTAAAGAAAAATTCCAAGCAAAGGTCAAGAGGGCTTTAATGAAGTTGAATTAAAAAAATAGTAATCAGAGGGCAATCCAACGTGGAGGACGCTCAGCAAAGAAGAAAAGAGTCACTTGGAGACTTCTGGTCGTGTTCGAAAATACCAACGCAGCCCCCACCGAGCTGGGTGTCCACGCAATAAGGGCATCACCACGATCAGCTTAGCCGTGTTCAGTCAAGTCCAACCACGAAGCCTCGTGAGTCACCACTGCGACCGTCGTTGAGCGAAAGCACCACCGCGAGCGTCGTCGTCGTCACCGTCCACCACCGATATCCTCCGAAGTCGCTGCCGACGCACCCCCGGTCACCATCCCGATCTGCAATCCCGATTTGCTGCAAATTCAAATTAGGAAAGAAATCTGCAAATCAGGTAATTATCTTATCCCGATTTGATTCGAATATTTTGTTGTCTAATTTGTGCTTATTGATATCTAATTTTGCATATTCGAGTAATAAGCATATTTCAATTAGGATTTATTTCTTTTTTTTTGAAATCTTGGATATCTGATCTTATCAAATTTGGATAGAATTTAGAATTTTCAAAAATCTTTTGAATATATCCAAAATATTTAAGATAACTAAATTTTTTCAAGATGTGATCGATTAGGAAAATTTCCTAATCCGCAACCGCACACGTGGAAATAAATCTATCTATCGGGCTTTAGATAGAGTTATTTCCATAGCGGGTATTTCGAATTTTAGGATCGATCTGTCAAGCTTCAGATCGAAACTTAATTAGAAAGATTTAGCGGTTATTTTTTTACTTGATTTTAATTTCGAATTTTGATTAAAAAAAATACCAAAAATATTACTCTAGAATAGGTTAATTTCTTTAGTTTAAAATTGCATGTTTAGATAATTGGCATTTTTAATTCCGAATTTCATTAAGAAAAAATACAAAAAATAATATGCCCGTCATTAGAAATAGGTCACGTCGTCGCATGACATATAGTTTGCATGTTAGGTTGCATTAATCGCATGTCAATTTTTTGCACGCCATTACATATAGGTTAGCTTTCATTTAAATAAATAAAAAAATCAAAAAAGAAAATTTCTGCACCTTTGAACTCTAAGTCAGGATTTATCAAAATTGTCAAATTGAGTATTTTTCTTGAAATTGGTACCGAAAGGGCGTCAGGGAATCTAGCGTAACGAAGTCCCCGAATCCATAATTTCTGGTTCGCTGAAATAAAATAGTACTCCCGCTATTTTATTTAGGTTTCTAATCAACCTACCTTAAATGATTAGTGGCGACTCCCATTGAAAATATTTGCATGCTCACAATTGGACCTAAGTTGTGATTTGGTAGAGTTTGGGAGAACTCGAGCTAGGTTAGTTAATTTAATTGATCTAGTAATCCATTAGCCTAAGATCGAAAAACCGATTTTTTTTAGGTCGCGACAGAGAGCAAGGTCAGCTCTTCAGGGATCAACCCAATCAATTTGTTGCTTGAGAGATCCAAATTGACCATAAGCTGTAGATCAAGAGCTGTGCAGTCTAGGTCTATCCACTTCACGACCTGTTCCACATGCATTTGATTCCAATCTGATGGAGTGATGGCAAGAGGCAGCGTCCCATTCTTGAAAGGTGTAGGCTCATAAGTAGGGGAGAGTGAGTTGCCTTCATCTATGCTTTTGTTCAATTTCATATCTTTCATATAGCCAAGACAGTTTGGAATCATTCCCGCTAGATTATTCACTGCCAAGTCCAATATTTGCAGTGCGGGGAGTAAGCATAGCTGTGAAGGAATACTACCATTGAACATGTTCTCTTGTAGTCTAAGAATCTGTAGAAACTGAAAGCATGGTCCAAACCAATGTGGACCACTTCCCAAGATTTTGTTCTCGCCAAGATCCAAAATCGCCAAGTTTATGCAATAGTTCATAGTCCCAGGAATTTTTCCATGGAGACTGTTGTTGTTCAAGTGCATTGACTTAAGCCGGTTTAGATTTCCCAAAGAACTCGATATGACTCTAGACAACTTGTTGGATGATAAATCAAGGAGACTCATAGGTTGCTCCTCCTTCCAACAAGCAGGTATATTGACAACTAATTCATTCCTTCCAAGGTGCAACACCTCCAGAAATTCCATCTCGCATAATGAGGTCGGTTTTGGACCACTCAAGAGATTATCATTCGGATACAAGAAATTCAAATGAGGCATCGCTAGGTCAATATATTTTGGAATAGGTCCTGAGATTAAGTTACGAGAGAGATCTAACAAAATCAATTCGAAAGGAAATTTTGGTAGAGATCCATTTATTTGGTTGTAAGAGAGATTCAGGTAGGAGAATGACATAACACCTAGCCAATCTGGAAGAGCTCCTATGATGGAGGCATTGGACAAAACTATCTCTGTTACATTGACTTGCGTTCTTATCCATCGCCGAAATTCCGTTTTGAACTCGCAAGACATCATCCGAATGTGCAAGAGATTGAAGGGTGGTACCCAGTCGGAATCCACCGCGAAAGCTAAATAATTGTTGCTGATATCTAAGTACCATAGCTTCGAGAGGTTGGACAAGTGGATTTCGGAAACTATTCCACTCAAGGAATTTACTGAAAGATCTAAATGGTAAAGATCTTGAAGTTGTCCGAGACTGTGTGGAATGGTGCCATTTAGAAGATTGTTACTGAGATCTAACAAGGATAAGACTTGTAATCTTTTGAATGCCTCTGGAATATTCCCTGTTAATTGATTATAAGAAAGAACAAGTTCTTCCAAGCATAACCAACCATATGATGAAGGGATGGTTCCATGAAATTGATTATGTGATAGGTCAAGCCTTGTCAGGTTTTTCAAGTGCATCAGACAATCTGGCAAATCTCCCCGAAGAAAATTGTTATTTATCTCCAATCGCTTCAAGTTTTTCCCGATAAGCCCCGAAAAATTTCCCTCCACTGAAAGTATCTCCTCATGAAAATCGTTATATCCCAACAATAATGACCGGAGGAATGGTTTGTTCCTTAAGAAAGAGAGCAGCCCTCCTTCAATGCTTTGCAAATGATTTTCTGCAAGGTTGAGATCGACAAGACTCCTCAAGTTATCCAAGCACCTTGGTATTGAAGAGATGAAAAGGTTTGATGAAAGATCGAGGAGCCGGAGAGAGGTCATACTTTGAATTATAATGCTCGGGATGGGACCTTCAAAAAGATTCCCTGAAAGATCAAGGTGTTGGAGAGAAATCGTGTTTCGAAATATAGTGCTCGGAATGAGACCTTTAAAAAGATTCTCTTAAAGATCAAGGTGCCAAAGAGAAATCATGTTTTGAAATACAGAGCTCGGGATAGGACCTTTGAAAAAGTTACTTGAAAGATCAAGGTGCCGGAGAGAAGTTATGTTTTGAAATATAGTGCTTGGGATTGGACTTTGAAAACAATTTCATGAAAGATCGAGGTATTGAAGATGAAGAGAAGTAGAATTGGCCAAGCGACCAGAAGACTGGTGAAATTTATGAAGCCCACAAGCTGATAGGCTCAAATGTGATAAAGATGGAAGTACACTGATCACCTGCATGGGCTCTTTAAATCCGGTAATATTCAGGCTGCTCATGTCAAGGTAATTCAATGCTTGAAGACGCGAAACCCATTGAATGTCTTCAACTATACTCATATTAAAATAACAATGGAGATCAAGGACTTCCAACTTAGTGAGATTTCCCCATTCACGAGGAATAGTTGCAAAATCGTAAGAGTTGGACAAGTTAAGGTACCTCAACTGCTTCATTGAGCCGATGAATTTGAGCATGTTTGCATTTTCAAAAAAGATTCCACTCAAGTCTAGGTAGCTCAAGTATTTCAAATTGAGTAAAGAAGAGTTTAGTTCACTAGCTGTGGAAAAAGTCTGTCGTAACTGGAATTCAGTTCCTGTTGTGATTTGGAGCATGATGACATGTCCATTTGCTCGGTCGCACTTTACTCCCGTCCGTCGGCAACGATCTTCGCCATTCCACGAGGAGAGGAGGTGAAAAGTGTCGGAGAGACTTTGTTTGAACTGGAGCAGAGCATTCCCTTCTTCTTCAAAGCAAATGGAGGATGAGCTTTTGTTTTTGCACAAGCATACACACGCATTGTCTAAAATTAACAACAGACTTACTGTTAAATATGTCTTGAATTTTATGTACTTGGTCCGGTTCATCACCCGACTCGACATATTTTTTGTGCGATCCAAAAGTGGAGAAAAAATTGAGATTTAGTTCGTGACGTGAAGGGTTGGGCCAATAGGCCCAACCTGGAGCAAGCGAACAAATCTTTGTGGCGGTTCGCTTAAGCTGGAGAAAGTGAACAAATGTCTTGGGGGGTTTGGGGGTGTAGCCCAAGGAATTTTTTTTTAGGGAGCCCTATTTATACTGCGGCTAGGTTTTTCCATTGATTAAGAGAGATTTTCATTTTGAGAGAGTTTTGTGAGCCTTGAGGTTTTGTTAAGTCATTTTTCGACTTCTGAAAGCTGTACTCTTTTTTATTATAGTAGAATCTTGTTTTGCCTCGCCCGTGAACGTAGATCGCCTTGTGATCGAACCACGTAAATTCTTGTATTCTGTATTTGTTTTTCAGCGTTTGTTTCGAACACTTACTAGTACCAGCACTTTCACAGTATCATGTCCAGCCATGAATGATGATGAAATTGAAAACAAAAGCTATATCGCACTCAAGTCACTCGATTAGGCTTCAAGTTTTTGGCTTGGGCGCATTTGTTCAAACTTTGAGAAATTGGGTTTTGCGTGGCTTCTTAAGAGTAGACATAGGGCATTTATAGAGAGCAAGTGAAGGAACGATAGTGAATGAAACCAATCGTTGTTTTATATCGCCGTGTACCGTGTATGTAATGTGTTCATAATTTCATTTACCATGACGATAAATGTAACCATCAATAATTAATTTTAGTAGTATTTGAAAAGGAACTGGAAAAACACACATTCTATGACTTGAAGCATGTCAAGGAACGTATATTTAATATATTATATGAGCTTTGTCTTCTCACGCATTTTTAAGTGTTCTCCGTTAAGAAATTATCCACCAACATCCCGATGACTTGACTCCAAGTCAACCGTCTCCCAAAAAGTCAAAGTCGACATCACCTCTTGAAATTTTTGTTGTTGGACTGATGGAGAACTTCAAAGCGGGTCCTGCACGGTTGCTTTCCATCACCATTTGAGGAGATCGATGGAGTCGAGGCCTACCTTGGCGACATGCATATGCCCCCAAATAATTGGGGAATAAGGTTAGGTTATGTGCAAATTGGATTGGGTATTCATTCATCACTGCGTAAATTTGAAAATTAAGGAATAAAATTAGCAAAAACCTCACAAATGAATTGAAGTTAAACTTCAAAAGAGTGATATGAAGAAATTGAGGAACTTGGCTCTGATTAGAGGGGGATTTCATCAGAAAGTATGAGTAGTAACGTGCGAGACGACACATATACTTTGCAGTCCTTCAACTCGCTTGTTCCAATTGCGCTCTATTATTGTGTTGTGGTCTTGCCTAGATAGAAATGGCTTTTCTCACTTATTATTGTGTTGTGGTCTTGGCTCATCTTGCTGATGACGAGTTGACGTCGAGAATATCGAGTTATTGTTGTTCATATTGGCCGAAATCCATTTTTCAACCCTCACAAATACAGCAGCTCTCTATTATTGTATTTTGGGTTTTGTGCACTAGTACATCGAATAGTTAGTGTGATCCTTTCACCTAGACAACAAGAATCAAAACCTTCAAAAGGAGTACTCATTTGGTGACGATTTAAGGGTGTATAAATAACATTACCAACTTTCACTCATCTTTTATGGGACACTAGATATTAGAAGTAATCAATCTCCTGAGGCGTACTTCGCACCGGGAGATAGATTATTCATTAGATTAGATGTGGACTAGTTTTAGCAATGATGATTTAGAAAAGTGTGAAGAGCAAGAGACCAAGTAAAGTTGTGTATTAGCCCCTGTGTAGAATTGTTTTCTACACTTTTCACGAGTGCCTTGTGATCTAGCCTATCTGATAATTCAGGGAAAATGTAGCCATCGCTCTGCATTTCAATTGAAAAACCAGAACGAGAAGTTACACGTTTCTTTCAATCAAAGTTTGGTAAACTGATAGTCCACAAATAACTCCAAGTCAACTCAACGACTTTCGATTGTCGCACAGTCTCGTCTCATCCTCAGGGCTAGTCCAGGAGTCTTTCCCTGTCTCTCTCTCTCTCTGCAGCCATGCAAGTAGGGGTGTGCAACTGGATCGGGTTTACCCAGGAATCGGACCAGACCACTTGAAAAATAGGTTCGGGAATTGGTTCTTGTTTGAACCGGTCTGGGAATCGATTCCATTTTTTGGGAATCAGTTGGAACTAGTCCGGTTCTCGATTCCAAGTGAAGATCCACCCGGACCAATTTTGGAACCGGTTTTTAGCTTGTGTTAAACAAAAAAAACCATAGATCATACTATTACTATATTTTTTTTTATTGCTTTTGGCGAATAGTGATTTTTATTATTCATCTTTTACTTTGAATTGTTTCATTATTACTCATATTATTTTACTGGAAAAAATGAAACTAGGAAAAGGAACAAAAGAAAAATAGGTTCTTGGGTAAACCTTGAAATCGGACCGGAAAAATAGGGTAGATGCCAATACAGGTTCCAGGACAAATAGGGTAGGTTCCAGGTTCCAAGTTTCAAAAACTGAGAACCGGTTATAACAGGGTAGGCTCCAGATTTTAGGTCTGAAACCTATCCACCCTAGAACCGATCACCCCTACATGCAAGTAGTCATGCCTCACCATCATAAAGCTTCAAGTTGAAACAAGAGCAAGTGCCTTGCCTTTGCTCCCTGCTATAAGCCAAGCAATAGAAGTCGTAGCACCAAGATGCACGCACTTTGGTGGGGCTGGACTGAACAGCTTTCTTGTGGAAAACTTCACGTTTGGCCAAGTTTCGCAGTGCAAGACCAGCAAGCCCCAAATCATCAAAGTCTCGAGGTCCATGTCGTTATGCTATGCAACAACTTGGGTCTGTCTATATTCATCCGGTTGCATTTTCCTTTACATAAATGCAAATTCTAACAAGGTTATTTAAGTACGCCTAATTCAGCCACCATTCAAATGTTCATCATGGATTTTGACTATAAGAGTCCATTTGTTTGATAGAAAACTGTTTCTCAAGAATTGCTCGGCATC